GGGGGGGCTAGCTTGGGTCAGGACCTCTCTGTGCTGTCGCTGCTGGTCAAATTGAAATTTAGCACCTAACGAAGGGGGTGAGCGACGATATGTATTATTTTTGGCACAATATGGATCGTTGCAACGTTCTTGACATTTGCAATTACGTTTCGAAGCAAGGCAACGCGTACAAAAAACATTGGCAGAGACATAAACAAACGTTGAAAAGTTTTACCTTTGATTTACGGAAACTGTAGTGATGCTTATGCTCTTCTCACATTTCGAGAATTCCCTCACATATTTATTCCCGTGACGTTGACTTTCACCAAACCTGAAAAATAGTGAACGAAGCATTATTATAACAGGTAACATTGCAAATGAACATTGTAAAAGAAATCGCCAAGAAAACGATATTTTCTTCAGTGTATAAAAGAGTTGGAGATATAATGTCTTGGATGTCGCAATTATGAGGCACTCGGGAGAAGGGCTTGCGGAGAAGAGCAGCAGCAGCAGCAACGCCACCAGCGCGGCGGCGACAAGGACAGCCGTAAATTATCGAGACAAAGTACTGCGGTGCGACAAGGACAACAAAAGGGTGACAACGAGGAATTAGCAGCAGAACGAACACGCGACGGAAACAATGAGCTGCGCAGGGAGGCAGAGGGGAGGGGGTACCGGATACACCGCGTCCCCAACCCGTTCAGTCCAACGCTCATTACAGACGCGGGCACTGGAAAAACAAAGGTGCCAAGTCACACCTTTGCAGGGCCGCGAAAGAAATTCTAGTTTAAGGCATCTGTAAAGGCACTGCAGAGCTCTCTACATTTGCTTTACATCAGTGTTTTTATCATAGCATTAACACTAGAACTACCGGGATTTTCGTATACCTAGATCTACCGGAGGGGTCATTTTGACCCCTAGGTACTATTTTGCCGTTTTAGCTGTGAAAAGACTGCGGTTTTGGGTACACAACTTCTTATTTTCGTTTTTTATAACACTTCAAGCAATTTTTGCACCCACGGGGGTTCCTGTTAAGGGGTAGGTAGGCAACCTGCAAAGCACAAAATGTAATTTTTCAGAAGTTTTGCAGATTTTTTCGTAATTT